GTCACAGGTCGGCTTGAATTATGGGGGGGTGAGTTTTTTTTCACTCACCCCTTAATTCTCCTTTAAGACCCAGCCAGTTCTGAGGATCAGGTGAGTATAACCTTTTTTTTTTAACCAAATGGAAGCTAACAGTGATATCCCTACTGCAAGGGTTAATAACATTTGTGCCCAGAGTTCCTTTTAAGGCTGAGTTCACACCTAGGCGTATCGAATATGCGCGTTTCGTGTTGTGCGTTTTTATCGTGATTCGCGGTTTAAAAAACGCGCAACAGACACGCGTTTACGAGGGCAACCTGGCTGTATCCCAATGGATAGGCGTGGCAAATACGCCCCAAAGAAGCTTCTGTACTTCTTTGGGCGTAGGGCGTTTTGCAGCGCGTTCCTACGCGCTGTAAAACGCCCAGGTGGGAACCATGCCCATAGGCAATCATTGGTTTTCACATGTTGAGCGTTTTACAGAGCGTAGAAACGCGCTGTAAAACGCCCAGGTGTGAACCAGGCCAAGAGTCCACATCAAAGACATCATAACCTCTCCTTGGCTGTGTCTAACGTAATGTGATTCAGTCTGACCATTTGTTTATCTATACATTTCCTTTTGTTAAGAGGATTGGAGGGCCCCCACCTCACAGTAATCCCACATATCCCAATGTTAACAAGATCCATATCTTGCTTCATAAAAACAATATTAATTGGTTCAAGAGGTTCCCCTAGCAAAAGCTGCAAAAGAGTCCAAACACAACCCCTGCAGTATGCCAGCTGGGACCATTATTAACAGTTGGGGCTATTCAAGAATGAGACCAGTTATTGTGTATGAAAGTTAGTTCTCTTTAGATTTAGCATGAGACTATAGTGAGAAAAGCGATTGTATTCTAATAACTGTATATGGTTAATAACTGTAATTATAATATTCAGTAAATTAATTCCTTTTTTTATTTTAGACACTCATGAATGCTGCTGTTAGACTCGTCCAATTTAACAACTGCTCACAGCTGCCACCCATCTTTGCCAATCCCTCCACTAGCTCCTGCATGTCCTATGAGTAAAATGTAAAATGCTAGCAAAAACATACAAAACCATCAATAATCCCAACTCCTCCCATGCTCACCTCCAGGACTTCTCTAGAGTCTCTCCCATTCTTTGGAACTCCTTACCCCAACCTGCCCGTCTTTCTCCCACTCTGACTGCCTTTCGGCAATCGCTAAAGATTCATCTCTTTAGGGAAGCCTATCCCGCCTTAAACTAACCACTGAACTCTTTCTCAAACAATTCATCCCCACACAGCGACCTGCTCTTGTATCACTTGTCCCTCCCTCTTATATTGTAAGCCCTCACGTGCAGGGCCCTCCTTACCATCTTGTCTTGAATTGTATTGTAATTATAATCTCTTCCCTATATTGTAAAGCGCTGCGCAAACTGTTGGCGCTATATAAATCCTGTATAAGAATAATAATAATCTCATAATATCACTCATATTGTCCTTTGCTCCTCCCAAGACCTTCTGCTCTCTAGCTCGCTCATCACCTCCTACCATGTTCACCACCAGTACTTACCCAAAAACTGTCCATCCTTTGGAACTCTCTACCCCCAATCTGTTTGGTTATCTCCTATTCTGTCCACCTTTAGGCGATCCCTGAAAACTCATCTCTTAAGGGAAGTCTACTGTATTTCACCTCTACCTAATACCTGAACTTATACTTTTTCCATCAACTCATCCCCACACAGTTATTACCTTTCTGTAACCCTCATTTCTCCAAACTTTACAAGTCACTGATAAAAATAGATGGTTATACTAAGCTAAAGGAAAACAACAATCAGTTAGACACCAAACATCCAAGGTGCAGAACATGGATAAGACACATTATATAATATACATATCATGTGTGGTGTCTTATCAAATCGTAATTTTTATCATGTTCCATATTATGTTGGTTGTTGAACTGTAATTTTATGCTTGTTGGTGGACATGGTCAGATGGAAATATGGATTGAGGCAGTGTCTTCTGGATAACAATATAACACTTCCACACCCCTTCAGCACACCCATTTGGCAGTGCTGTTAACCACCCATTGCACTAGTGGCCAATGTCAGTGCTAATATTATTTAACCCTCCCCCTTGATTGTCAGTGGCAGTTTTACGTTTCCCCATCACCAATTGGTGGTTAGTGGCAGCGTTATTTAACACCCACCAAATTAATGGTCAGTGGCAGTATTATTTAATCCTCCCCTCCTGCATTGGTGATTTTGGTCTGCGATCGTGTTTTCGTCCAAAAATCTGCCAGTTGATGGGAAGTGCACAACCTCAATTACTGTACAACTGGCAGATTTCTGTCTTTCAAGCAGGCTAGAAAACTTTCGTCTAGTTGGATGAAAATTGACAGGTTAGTGGCGCTATTGTACAACAAAAATCTCAATGAAAACGGCACATGCTCAAACGAAAACATGTTCTTTCGATCGATGAATATCGGCCAGTTAGTGGTACTGACGATCGTTAATTGCGAACTACATTGTTCTGTGCATGATGGGTAGGTTGAACGAAAATTTAACGAGGGTGAGATGTCTGGACAAAAAAAGTTGTACAATGGTTGTAAGGGGTATGGCCACCTTTACAATGCACCAGATTGTATGCAAGATTTGTTTCTGCCCGTGTTAATCTCCCTCTAGAGGTGATCAGTGGTATTGCAGGCTGTGATAACTGATTCACAGCCCTGTTTTACCTCACCAAAAGGAAGCCATCTCCTCCCACGCCACCAGAAGAATTCCTTGACACCTATGCTCCAAACTGAGACTATTTCTAAACATTTTAACCATGTTTACTGTAGACTGTTCCACCTACAGCAGAAAAGAGACTATAGGTTGTAAGGGGTATGGCCACCTTTACAATGCACCAGATTGTATGCAAGATTTGTTTCTGCCCGTGTTAATCTCCCTCTAGAGGTGATCAGTGGTATTGCAGGCTGTGATAACTGATTCACAGCCCTGTTTTACCTCACCAAAAGGAAGCCATCTCCTCCCACGCCACCAGAAGAATTCCTTGACACCTATGCTCCAAACTGAGACTATTTCTAAACATTTTAACCATGTTTACTGTAGACTGTTCCACCTACAGCAGAAAAGAGACTATATAAAAGGTGGTTCAGTCCACCTAAACATAGGCAGATCTAATTCTGCCAACTTGAATTTTTACATCCATGGTTTCCAGGACAGACACTGCAGACTTGGCTGTTAAATATACTATGATCCCTAGGTCAAGACAATGGATATAATCCATTATAACATTGCCATGGACTGGCAACAGCAAAATATGAACTCACTGAACTGCCGATGTCAACCAGAAAACACTAACTCTTCACTCAGAATGTCAATCCAGTTATTCAGAGGTAAAAACAACACCCACATGAATGCTAATAAATGAATTAATTCAATAAATATTAAAAGGTAGTTTTTAGTGCCATTAGTCTGAGAGCCGGTACTGAGCCCTTAAAAGCCCCTGTACAGTACTTATTTTGGTCAAAGTAAGGGGCACAAGTATGAGCCAATCAGATTCTACTGCAGTGCACATGTGCTCTCAGTGAACAGCTGAGGGAACAGAGGGATGATCTCAGCAGTGTGCTGCTGAGTGGCTCAATCACATCACTGCGCTGCTGCAATGCACATTATGTGCACTATGGTGCCACTCATTGTGAAGGATACCCACAACGCACCTCCAAAAACACATATGAGCTGCATACAATACAGCACAGTGAAGCACAAAGCTCTTTTTTTTTAATGCGTTGATTAATGTTCAGTGGGCTGCCTAACACAGAGCACTGCAATCCGTTTCAAAGCACTTACACATGGTGTGCATAGGTCCTAAATGTAAAAAATGGCAATTGGGGATGTGCTCTTGACCAAGCTGTGTAGCTGCTGCAGGGGGCGTTGAGGACCTAGCTATGCCGTAACACGTGATAGGATCACAAGACTGCCCAAACAGGATTACAAACTTTTTAGTACATCAACATTTTGCATTTCTCGTACTGTATCTGCATATTTAGCTGCTGGCTTTTTTTTCTTTAAGGGTTTGTTCACACCAAATCTGCACGAGTTTCTGCACACGCAGTGCAGTGTGTTTTGCCATGTTTTTGATGCTTTCCAACAAATTTTTTTAGCCTAAAATGGGCTTTTAGTGTGTTCCAGGGCGTTTGCATGCATTTTGTATGCGTTTTGGTGTATTCCAGAGCAGAAATAATAGGGCATGCTGCAGTTTTTCCACATGCTCCAGAACTGAACGATGTGGTGTGAACTAGAGCCCAAAATACCATTGGAATACATTTTGATGCGTTCTGTAACTGCTCTGCACCTGCTCCGCACTTGAGGTGAACAAGCCCTTAGAGTTAAGGCAGTAATATTTAGCAGATTTCTAGATGTACTTCTAGCTGGACTGCACTCTTGTCTCACGATTCTGTGCCACCTACCTCTGTAAAATAAGCAAGGCAGTTGGCAGACCCAGACAAAATTTGGCCTGTGTTTTAACACGTGGGGCCAATCTGTAAATGAGGGTACAAGCAGCTATGGTAACTTTATGTGTGGGCAGACAGCTGCTGAGGGCAAGTTCCATGATGAAAGTTAGAGCCACTCAGTACAGGCATGCTGTGCCTTTGGGTGAGTTTAAAACACATCACTGGCTGCCAACCTGAATATAGCCCATGCCTGTCAATGCTGTGCCAGCTCCAAACAGGCTTGGCAGCTGAAATATTTCCACTTTATAAAGCTTTGCACAAATGGTTAAATGTTGGCACCACGCCAACTGCTTATTGCATTGTTGCATTTGTCAGGAAGAGTGAAGTCAAACGTCGTACATGGCCTTTGCCATGCCCAGTTCCACTATGGCAACTCTTTCTACCACACCCACCTATCTGATTCTGTGTTGAAAGAATCATGACTGTGAAGAGGTATGCAAATATCATTAAAGGCATTCTATAAAACTACTCCAAACATAAAAAGGAAGTACTAGTTTTTCTTACCTTTAGAGAGTCAAAGCAAGCGATAACTCGTCCATTTTCCACATGGCAACTTCGTGACGGGTGAGCAAACTTGCACTCTGCATCAGACCTTGAACAAGTGCCTCTCTGAAACTCCCGACAGACTTCCAGCGTCAGCCATTTTGTGTCACGCACCAAGGAGACGTTAACAGCCATATTAAAGACAGAACCGCCGAGGCCAAGGAGAACACCTTCTATCGGTGACTACAATCTTTTTTTTTCCTTCTTAAAAGAAGGGGATGGGGAAAGGTGGAGTTCAAGTTTAAATGAATAAAAACTATTTTTTTTCGCTTTGGTTAAAAAAAATGTCAGCACTTAAGGTTTTTTTTTTTTATTTTTTTTTTATATTTTTTATTTTTTTAGTCAATTTGTATCTGTTGTCGAGACATGAATGAAACATAAACATCCAACCATAAAATAGACGTTTTATCAGATAAATTGAAAATAAAAATAAATCTAATTAGAGACCAGCTCTTGAAAAGTGCAAAATGTCAAAGTTTGAATGTGTTGGCTTTATTTGTCACTTCTGAAATCAGATCGAGTTAGACTGAGCCGACTTTTTCAACAATTCTGTGCTCTTAGCTTAATGGTTTCAATTATGGTTGTGTAAAACTCGGCAGAAATTGGCAGAATTTCAGTTCCTCAGACAGACAAATCGGTGGCGTTTTATTTATTGTTACGTTGAATAAAATAATGTTACAGTTGGGCACAGCCGTGACTGCTAATGAAAATTTGATGATTTCCGTGTTCAAAGATTGAGTGCTGAAATTGTAATAATGAAGGTCAGTTGCCGTTTGGTTTGGCCTGCAAGCAACGGCAAATGAAAAAAAAGAAAGAGAAAAAAAAAAGAAAAAAACATAGAGAGGCAGCACTAGAAAAAGATCCAAGCAGCGTTAGCTTCGGAAAAAAAGGCACGTTTCAGCAACCTGCAATAAAAGAAGAAATGAAATACATAATCAGATTTTTTTTAAAAAGAAGCACAACCTTGTCATTTTCATCACACGCTGAGATGATACAGCAAACAGGAAAACAAGCTTTGGCAACAGGATAAAACCTTTGAGATAGTGACACTACGGCACAGTGCAATCAGCCATTGTGGATCGAGAAAGGGGCTTTTCCCAATCGAATCTGCGCATGGTAAAACAAGGGAGCCAATTACGCTCTCTGTAGCAACACGGGACTGGGCTGACGCCCAATAGCAGCGCTTGGTTTATGCCGATCTGTTTTGGCAATGAATCTTTTTTTTTTTGCCCACTGCACAGTAAGAAAATGCCAAGGGACACGTGCTGCAGTTGTATTTGTCGTTACTTTTTCATTTACATATTTATCGAAGAAATACATGTAAGTGAGACGGGTCAGTCATTCGCTATAAATGGAAAAAAAGACAAGAAATATGACAGTATGTAAATGCTGTATGAGCAGAGTCTAGCCTCCAGCTGGTGGCTGGGTGCCATGGGTTGGGGAACTAGACAAGCAAAGCAATGCTGGATAGACATTAACCCTTTTTCAACCAGAGGCATGATTCATTGCAGATATAAAGACATTTCACCTACTAAGATGCGGATTTCTAATCAGCCAAGCTATCTCTATAACATAAGCAGGCAATGCTCTGTCAGGATTGCTGCTTGTAGTTTCTGCTAGACACAAATACTACAACTGTATTCTGGCAAAAAATAATTTTGCGCTTTATGCGCCTGACTAATCAGAATTCATTTTTCTTGCTAGAAATGTGATTTCTTGTTATGGCTTTCACTTTGAAAATCATCGTTGCCGTTTGCTTAGCTTAAATAGGTATTCCCAATACTGTATCAAATGTACTCCAGAGTAACTATATAAGGTGTCTTGTATCTCTCAGTGACTCTATTGGTGAAGTCCGTACACTAGAGTTTTCAGACCTGAGACCTCCACCTATATATTACCTCTTGGCTTTCTTGTTCATCTTTATTATGGAGGATGCAGCAAAGTAACATGGGAACTCCCCAAAGTAGATAGGAACGCCCAAAACGCCAAGGGTGTGGAAACATATCCAGGAAATATGCCAGAGTCATCTCACTGTTGGGGATTTAAAACAGTAACTGGTGAGCCCACCTCCCCCCCATAACTGAAATGTCACTTTTGGGTAAACTGAACTACAAAAAAAGGGAACAAACAAGGAGATGTTGAATTTCCAAGTCTACCGGTCTTTATGAAAGGGCATTGTACACATGTACATGGAGGTTCTAAATGACTTTGTAGATTTTACATGGCAAACCCAACCAAAGCTGACACCTATTTTGACTGGATATAAAAAGTAGGGGATTCAGAAGCCCCAGAAGAGGTTCTTAGTCCCCTACCTTTTTATATCCACCCATATTGACTGGTTCCACCCAAACTGGCATGGAGTGTTTGTAAGTTTCAAAATGCTTAAAGTATATGAAAAAATGGGTGGCTCACGTTAAACTGCCCCATTTGGTCCTTTCACATAGTCCGAGGTGTGACCCACACTTTTAGACTTTTTTTGCACTGTTCCCCATGCCACATATTTGTTTGGATATAAATAAAGGTTACTGGGAAATGGTATATTTTCATAGCTGCCAACATCTGAAAATTATTTTTCATGCCAAGTCGATTATTCTAAGCTTGCCAAGCAAATTACAGTCTTGGAGAAACATATACTCAATTGTGATACTTCTATTAAATCTACTAACCGGTATATGCATATTATATATACAAATTAAATAAAATAGTGTATTAAAATCCAACTACAGTCAAAACTTTTTGTCTTTTTTGTTTTGGATAGATTTGGGAGGGGTCAGGTTTTAAATGTACTCTCTGCCCCCTGTTGAGATTTCACCAAACTTGGACAGAAAGGGAGGGTAGGTCCCCAGTAGGTCAAGCGCTTTTGGGGCCACACAGGGTCCCCTTCATCAGGCTCAGAGTAGACACTTTTTTCATTAAATTAATTTGCACTGGCTTGAAAGTCTCGATGTGCTGGTGACATCTGTATTTGAAGTTGTTCCATGTGCAGCGCCATTCGCGGTCATTTCAAGCACCCATCATTGTCTTGGGATTTCCGGTAAGGAGTGCTACAGAATCTATGGATATCTGTACCATTTCCCCAGTAGGGACACAAGCAAAAAAATAAACCTAACAAAAGGTTCTTTCCCTTTTAACCTGTAATAGAAATGGTATCCTTTGTGCCCTTTGCGAGGATATTTTCCCTCACTTCTCATTCTGTCTGACCCCAGTCAAATAGACAGGAAGTGAGGGGAAATATCTCAAAAAGAGAGACACATACAACAATAAAAACTTGACAGAGGATAAACCCTTTTCAGCTTATCCAAAACTAAAATAAAAACAACATTCAGCTGGAGTTGGATTTTAACACTTGTTAACATTCATATGCAAAATAGATGCCATAAAGAAACAAAATAAAAATGTCACTGCATAGTTGGCCACAAATAAAAATCAGAGACATTTCTTGACACCATAAGCATCAGGGTAAAATCCTAAAAACGGTCCCTGAAAATCGGGAAAAGCTGACAACTGTGCATGTTTTTGTAGTGTTGCACCTTTAAGCAACCCATTGGCTTCTGCTCCCACATTCCATTTAGCAAAGCAACATTTCAAAGCAATATTCTTATAAGGAAAAAGCAGATGTTGCCAAGGCCAGTCACAGATTAACTCGTACATGCCCATGGCTCACCCGTGCCAGGATGGCTGGCAAAACATTGCAGAAATCTCTGGCAGTGCACACGCGGTTTCAAATACTTTGCTTGTTGTTTGAGAATTATGTGTTTTATGCAAGATTACACAATTGTGTTGCGGGGATTGATGGGCTCTTTAGCACAGCGATCACACTGTATCGGAGAGCACTGTATCTGTTTAACTCCTTCAGCCCTATAAGCGGGTTAGAAATGCTTTCAGCCTTCCTGATGCTATCAAAAAAAAGTTTTAAAGAGCCGGGCATAAGTACATTGCTTAGTAAGAGCTATAAAAATTTGTTTTGGCTGCTGGGGTACAACGGAATGACACGTTTATAGCCACGTGTTTCCAAACCAAGGGCACTGAACGCCATTTTGGGGTGTGTCTCCTACAGAATGATTGATTTTACTGAATGATTCTGCACAGACAAACAACGTTCACAGTGTTTCACAAATGCAACAACAAGAGTTTGATCTAATCCCCAGCATGTCCAGGCATACGTGCTACAAGTCTTCCTCCCTCTGGACTGAAAGAAGTGCTTCGACTTGTAGTTCTATAAAAGCCACACATTGCTTTTCTCTATGCATAATTCACAACTATTTCCCTAAACTGTAGACTACAGTAAAGAACAAAGTGAGTATATACTCACATACAACAAATTGGTATAATTGTTTCCTGGCCTCTTATTAAACAGCAGCTCAATATTAAATACATGACATCATTTATAAAAAATGTTTTATTGGTTTAGAAACCAGTGTAGTTTGTAGCCTACTCAATCTTATAACTTTTGTGTCTGATACAGAACTTTGCAAATTAAAAGAAATGTGGATGGTTCATGAAAGAGACCCTGTCCCCAAATCTTGCCCTCATAATACAGGACGGCAATCTTTATTACATGTACTTAGCATGGTCTGCTGCAACATTTCAAGAATTCTAAGCCAACATATCTGCTCCTAGATCCAGGTGGAAAATCAGCACTTATTGCAGTGTCAGATCATGAGCCACCTGCAGCAAACTGTCCCAAAACCGGGCCGTCCCTAAGGAATTCACTGCCTAAGGTGCATGTAAACCCCAACATGAACTTCTCTCAATTGCTACCATTTGGTTAACATACCAAATAAAACCGTTTTGTTATATCTGTTCAATAGGTGCAAAACATACCTGATGATTGAGTCAGAAATTCAGATCTGTACTGTGTATAGTGAACAGTTTCTATCTTATTTCAAGGAGTCTAATCAAGCCTCCTAGTCCTGGGATTACTGAATGATTTGTGTTATGGAGAATGGCAAAGGGGGTGGGCAGTGCTGACACCACTCACTCCACAAAAATACTGTGAATTGTCACCCCACAACAGACTTGAGTGCATTTCTGGCAGAACATTTTTCTGTACTTGACGGATCTTTAATGGAATAAAAAACATAAGGGAAATGTGCATGCATTGCAGATACTGTTTATGTATATATTTTTTTGTCCTGACATACAATTTAATTTTACTATAAAAAGGTGAAACCTGGTAAGCTACTATTGGCACCAACACGTGCTCATTTACTTTTCTATATAACAATTCCACCCCAAAATATATTAATGAAAAAGTGCTTCTAGTGCACTAGTTCTATAGCTTTTATAACTAGCACTGGTAATGAAATCTAAGACTGAGGCTAGGTAGGTAAAAAGAAGTCAGCCGGAATCACTTTGCTGTTAGAGGGAGGGCTGTCTTACGATGGCCAACGTGAAGTTCAGGTTTTCACTCTTTCGTGAAGGAAAGCCAAAATGACAATGTGTACAGTTATACTGACTCCTGGCACTGTATAATATATCCGTTTGCAACAGTACAGCCTGTTCTGTTGAACACAAGACTTGAGGAACACCTGTGTTAACCTAGCAGTGCTGAAATGCTTGGAATGGAACTCCCACATAGTGCAGAGATTTGCTGAATGATGAGGATCATTAGTATAGTTCGTACTATGACTGAAGTGTCTCCATAGATAGAATAAGAAATATTGACACCTGCAGACATTCAGAACTTTGCATGGTCTAATATATAAACTAAAATAAAACACTGAGGGTACGTTCACACCAGATGCAGTGCGTTCCGGTCCGATTCTGGCCGGAACGCACTGCATCGCATTGCGGCCGGCTCACTTTTTTGTGGGGCAGGAGGGGGCGTGGCGGGCCATTGAAGTGAATGGCACTCTAGCCACGGCCTCCGGCCGCTATGCGATCGCACGCACGGGATCACAAA